ATAATTCATGAAATTTGAGAGATGTAGTCATTGAATGCATTTTGTGCCAAAACAATGATAACTGGTCCTCAGTTTAGCCCACATAGACTTCTGTTGTGCTCACTGTGTGAGGAGTTTTGCAAACGTGACCTAAGTATTGGGAAATGTGTCCTAGCGTCTGTAAAAAACTGTAATGCAGATTTCTGCTAAACAATCGGTTCACACAGCCAAATCAAACCAACTCATATCGGTGGATCTGAAGGAAACAAAATCAAAATGTAGCAGATAGCAACCTAAGAACTGTTTACTTCAATCGTTTCATAAAAAGGCTGCAAATGATCATACGCTGCTTGAGCTGCTTTTAATCTGAGTGCTGTAAACAGCTGTGTGAACCTTGAACTGCAACGCAAACAAGAACACGTCACGACAAAGGCTTCATAACAAACACGAACATGAATTTATTTAATTTCGTTAACTTACTTTCTATGGACCGGATGAGCCCTTATTGCTTATCAGCAACGTCCCTACAGTCCCGAAATGTAACTTTGATGAGCCTACTCAACCACTAACATCTTCTTTTCTTTGGCCCGGAGCGCCATCCTCTGGTCACAGAGAGAGTTACAAAAATACACGCCATTGTTCGCGGTCTGACTCCATTAACCAATCACAGCAGAGTGTACCTTCGGCGATGACCCTTTGGGCGATGTAATTTAGCACTGGCATGGAATACAGGCATGACGGGAAATGCGCGTTGACGGTTTCAGAATAAAAGAACACGCTTTACCAAGCAAGCACAAAAGGACATTGTTTTTATTTAGCTCATGTTAAAATCTTGCAGTAACAGTCAATCTTCGCTATCTGTTATTAATTTGTAACTTTTTTTTGTTTAACCTCCTAGGACCTGGCGTCCACATATGTGGGCATCACATTTTGGGTTATTTAGACCAAAATACTAAATTTTGCTCTGCAAGGGCCTGATATCCACTTACGAGGACATTATACTGTTACTGTCCTATCGAAATTTCAAACGAATATTCTTATATGTGGCTCTCATTTTCAGGTCCCAGGTCAGCATTGGTGGTTCGGGTCTCAGGAGGTTAACACTTAGAAAATCCTTGAAAAAACAGTTTTTACCCTAACTTCCCAAAAATGGCTGCAAAAATATTATATAGTGATATTTATTTTCCATTATAAATGACTCAGTCTTTTACAAATGCTTCATCCTGGACTATACATATTTCATATTACATAGTTTATTATATAGTTAGATGGTTATAGAGAGAGAGAGAGAGAGAGAGAGAGAGAGAGAGAGAAAGAGAGTGAGTTTTGTTTTATTTTGAAAACAGAGTCCCGGAAGCGGTATGCTAGAAGTAGCTTTTATGTTGTCAGCGGCAGTCTGCGTTTGTGTTTCGCCGTCGGTGACCTGTCGGTGACATTTGCAAACAATGCTCCTCGGGCTGACTAGAGGAGGGCGGGTGCTGCCGTCTCCTCGGCGCTGCCTCCTGCATTGTCGCCACATTAAATCTGCAGCCACCGCTGCGGTGAGTGTTATTTAACGTCCTTCATGTTGGTCGTTTAACTTCAATGCGTGTTGTGCACGAAGTCACGTGCACAGCATGTCTTACCTGCGTGCACGGTACAACCTGCTAGCAAAGCATTAATTAACAAGGCTAATTATGAATAAGCATTAATTAAAAGGGTTAATAAAGCACGAGGCCCAATACCACCGTGTACAAATGCTAATTATTATCTCTGCGCATTAAACTTGAGTCAGCGAAACCTGTAAAAGTTTAGGCGGCACTAAAGGTCTTTGCGAAGGCTTTTTATATGTTAGCATACACTACAAGCGAACCTTAAATTGCAAAATACGGCGACCCGTATTTTTTTCCGAAATGAAATATGAAATTATCACACCCTTCTGAGCTATTTAGAAGAAATATTGAATCAGAAAAACAAGCAATTCAACCCTTGGAATGTGTCGCAGAATTTTTGTTGATTCTTGATTATGTTTGTCTGTGTGCGCATTGGTGGTTCAGTGGTAGAATTCTCGCCTGCCACGCGGGAGGCCCGGGTTCGATTCCCGGCCAATGCAACCTTCCTTTTTCTTTGTCAGAGGCGACATAAAAATTATGCGTTTACTTTCTCGAATCAAATAAATATGAATAAGTATTTGGATGCGTTCATAAAAGGTATAAATTCTCTAAGCCTATTGTAGAATGCACCGGTTTTCCTGTTTGCTGGAAATGTAACATTGATTTTTACCGCCTACTGAGTGTTGAAATAGTGTAAGAATCGCGGAAGTGGCGGCAATCGGTTCTTATTCTGTTGTGCAAAAATCCTTACTGTGCGCATTGGTGGTTCAGTGGTAGAATTCTCGCCTGCCACGCGGGAGGCCCGGGTTCGATTCCCGGCCAATGCAACACCTAATTTTCTTTTCTTTGTGTCATGAGAGGTGTGCAACTATAGCAACTTTAAAATATATGACACCCTTCTGGGTGTCATCTTATCACCCAGTAGGATTAGCCTGATGGTGTTAAAGGCACTGGAAAAGCATAATGCTTAGTACATGCCGACTGACCCAGAAAGCCCTCCATTTCCTGTGCAAAAGTCATAGCAGCAAGCATTGGTGGTTCAGTGGTAGAATTCTCGCCTGCCACGCGGGAGGCCCGGGTTCGATTCCCGGCCAATGCAAGGCTTACTTTTCTTCCGTGTGTGGGTATTTAGAGCAGCTATGAATATCTACGTTTAAAACTGCTTCTGTACTTACTATATAGGACTGAAAGCTAGTGTGGTGAACTTTGGATAGAATACAGGTTAAAGTCACTTTTGCATTAGCTTGCTCTTTGTGGCACAGAAATTGGCTGTGGGGCCAATATCTGTTCTCTGTTCAAAGGCCACAGTGTCAAGCATTGGTGGTTCAGTGGTAGAATTCTCGCCTGCCACGCGGGAGGCCCGGGTTCGATTCCCGGCCAATGCAAGGCTTACTTTTCATCCCCCTCTCTATTATTTATGTGTAGGCATTCAGACGGGCTATAAATTCTTTAACTGTCTTGTGGACAGCACACCTTAAATTCTACTTATCTGTTAGCCAGCAATCAAACTTTGAGAGATGCTGTACAGCTGGCTCATCTGCAGAACTGTAGGTGAGTCCCCGCCCCCAGTGTGTTCGCTTGAGAGGTAACATCTTCCTGAACTTGGCTCAAAATGAGCCCACAGACAGTTTGCAGTTATTTGAGAATAGGGCTGTGCGATATGACCAAAATCCCATATCCCGATATAAGACATCTATCGTCCGATAACGATATAAGTCACAAAAATGTAACATTTTCTGTAAATTCTGTGAATCTCGGGCAGCTCGACCTGTGTGAAATGTTTCCAGCTTGGCGTCGTGTACCTGGAGTCGAGTGTTTTAACCGATGCATGAAACGATACATTTTTAGACATAAGTTGTAACGGCCGTTGTTTTCTTTGTGAGTATTTATTACACAGTGTGCTGCGGGGAAAAACCTGTTCTAACGCTTGACCCCTTGCACCCTACCCACCACTTGTTTGCCACACTGTCCTCTGGTGGGCACCTTAGATCAGTCAGGTTCAACACCTGCTGACTCCTTTCGATGTGTAGGAGCAGCAGTTACATCTATTACTATTACATCTGGTGCCAACTAGTGAGATCAATGATGGGTTTGTTGACTAGTCGCACACATCCCTAATATAGACAGTATAAAAGACGTAGCTACCACATTGTCATCCATTGATTACTGAAGCATTTCTGCTGTCTTGTTTTTTTTTTAAAAAACTAGACAAAACAACAATGGGTGGGTCTTTCTGTGAAATGGCTCACTCATTGGCTAATGACCATAAGCATACCACGGATATCCTTTTTTCTAAAACACGATATGCCCAAGAATTAAAATACAGACAATTTTTGTTATCCAGTGTGACTCAAAACAAGTGACCGATTCCAGTAATTTAGCAGAAAAAATCTACAGAGGTCAAGTCAGAAATAAATACAGGGTATTTCATTTGTATTATTACATATTATCAGGCTATCATTATAACAAGTAGTGGATGCTTTTGGTATTGTATTGTGTGTAACTCTGTATTCATTTATGTGTCTGCACAGAGTGGTGTTGGAGACAGCGTGCTCTCTGCATTTAGGTCTATATGTGGCGAGGACGGCGTCTCATTGGGCGAAGCTGTTAGAGAACAACATGGCAAAGATGAGTCTGTACACAGGTCAGCATCTCCCATCTCACACACAAAAAATCAAATATTGACCTATACTGATTTACAGATAAGCAGAGGAGCTGCCATATTTCTTGTGTTTTTCTCCAGACTTTAACTTTTTTTCTTGTTTCTGTGTCTTTCACTCAGTATCAGAGTGTTTTGTCGTTTTCATGCCTTTCTCTCAAACGTGTATTGAGAGAGTTTTTGTTGTTGTCCTTTGTGCCGTGGAACTGTTACTTTCATTGAGGAATGGGACTGTGGTGTTTACTCTTTTGTTTTTTAAACTAAACTTTTTGTCATTGGCAGACAATCAAACATTGATCTGTACTGATTTAGAGACAAGCAGAGGGGCCACCATCTTTCTTGTGTGCTTAAGTTGCTGACTGTGTAGTTGGCCAATTTTAGTTTCACAGTCAGATCCACCCTTGCTCGTCACATATGGGCCTGAAAACAATGCTAAATGCGCTAGTGGCCTGTGGGGCCATCATGTGTTTTCAGTGGAGAAGTTTCTGCAGCAAGCATTGGTGGTTCAGTGGTAGAATTCTCGCCTGCCACGCGGGAGGCCCGGGTTCGATTCCCGGCCAATGCAACACTAAATTTTCTTCCCTTTTTTATTATATATGTGTAAATCTGTTATAGAATCATAACTTTCTGTTTTCAGTGGATCACCCATGCTAGCACCATTGACCAACAATGGGCCAGCAGGTCAGTGTCATAATCATTAATATGCAAATTATCATGATCATTGATCAATGGCTATAGTACCATTCACAGGGAGTTGAACAATGGCTCCAATCACAGCATTATAAGATGGTGAACGATGTACTCTTAGAACCCCTCCTCCATTCAGAAATGGTCATTTACATTTTCACATAAATGGGCTCCTCGACTTCCTGCTCAAACCGCAAATCAAACAGCACCAGTCGATCCAATCGCACATTTTTAGCCAGTGAAAAATCACCTGATTACTTACATGTAACTGTCTGAGTGTGGGTTCGAGTTCTGATTGGGACAAAGCTTGTGTTACATTAACACAGTGGTTCCCAAACGTTTTTTGCTGGGCCCCCCTTTGTTTTACAAGAAAAATGTTCGCGCCCCCCACGCACAAACACATCCTCCAACCACACACACCTATATTTTGCTCCATTGCGCTTAATTTCACACCTCAAACATTTAGCAAACAATTAAGCAAATACAAGTAATCTGCAGTAAATTACAGGTAGTAAGAAAATAAACTACAAACTCTTTTACGCTACGTCCACACCTACACGGGTATTTTTGAAAACGCAGCTGTTTCGTCCACATGTAAACGAGATTTTTTAAAAACAGAGTTCGTCAAGCAATGTCAAAGGTATGTGCCTTTTTTCACGTCACGCTGTGCGC